GGTATATGCTCTATTCTACTATCTATATTTGATGATCATGTTTACTCACATTAGTTTCAGATTTTCTGCTCTTTCTTTGAACCAGTTCTGAACAGATGGCCCGACTGGCTCTGCTGCTCTTCTCCCTTGTGTGTCTGATTCTACATTCATAAAGCTAACGTTAGACTAGATTAGTTCCTCTGATGTCCATGAAGCAATTTCTCATTATTGCCTGTGGTTGAGAGTGGGCAGACTCCTGCCTGGGAGCACACAGGACAGTGTTTGTCTGCTCTGACAGGCTGCAGAAAGTCTTTGTGCCCAGACTGAAAGGAATAAAAGTATGAGGAGAGCCTCCCTCCAATGGGCTGTGTCTGGTGTTGGCCCTGCCCTGCGGTAAGGCAAGGTTATTCAGATGAAAGATGGTGTTGAGATTAGTGAGCCCTGCCTGGGCGCGTGGACGTCCAGCATGCCGCACTGCGTGATTTATGAGAGTCGTGATATCAGCGGTCGCCACATGAATAAACCATGTGGCCAGAATTAAGCTCCTGTTAAACGACGCACAGCATTTTCCCAGGTGCCTCAACCTCAAAGTGGAAATCACAGTCATGAAAGTTGTATTGATGCCATTGTGTTATAGCAGTTTCATGAGACCGCTTGTTGATGGTCCAGTGCGGCGGCTGAAGAACTACCAGTTCTAAATCTTCTGAGGATTTTCCTCATTGCTGATAATTCCCATGACTTTACCAGTGCTGTCTGCTGAGGGTTGGATGGTTCGAAGTTCATTAATGGTTGGATATGAAACACTGTTTGTGATGAAACACCAAAATGCAGCACAGCCAAGTTGAGAAGATTTGAAGACTTAACAGAGGAGAATGTAACTCCTCTAAATAATTTCCATCCCTGTAATTTTATAGCTTGTTGAATTCAAATGTTGGAATTTATAAAGTGTCTTTTTAAAAAACACACTAGGGCTTCAATTAAAATCATCATCGATTAATCTGCTGACTATTCTCTCCATCAATTAATTGTTTGATGTATGAAACGTCTAAAAATAGTTAAAAAAACCCACCACAATTTCATAAAGCCCAAGATGAGGTCTTCAGATTGCCTGTTTTGTCTGAAGGACTGTCTAAAACTCCTCTACTTTAAAAAAACAGTATTTAGTATTATTATTATTATGATAGATGTGTTATACTTATAATCAGCATCTGTACTAGATTTATAAACATAAACAAGTCAACGTAAAGTGAGAAAAAATCGCCAAGAAGTCTTTAAATAAAACAACTATTGTTGTATATTTTCTTGTCTTTATTACAATATATCACAAGAGGCACAATGTATAGTGAAGTGATGTGGTGGCTGAATACACCAGCACTCCTGGGAAACTGAAAACTGCATACATATAAATGTTGTGCATGCTAATAATATGAATATTGTACATCTGTCTTCCGTCCTTCCCATCCATCTTCACTCTCTGCTTAGAAAATCATATGCTGAAGCAGGATGGAATTATATAAAATAATGTGAACTCACGATATCCTCTGTCCTCACAAATGAGGTGAACCACTAATGTCCATAAACATAACTAAGCAGTATTAGAGTCATAGAGTGTCTGGTCTGAGATTGAGAGATTGTGAAGTTAATCCTTAGCTGGATCATGTCAAGCTGGCATTCCTAATCATTCAAGTGTAATAAAAAGGAAAGTCCCCATGAGTGCATTTTTACTGAGATCAGGTATAAGACATTGCTGCCTTGGCTGCACTTCATGCTGTCAGCATTACTGAAATTCCCATAAATGCAGCGACAAACACCCTCTCGGGCTTTATGACTTCAATACACTTGATGCCAATTCACGTGTTTGGTCTCTTTAAAGTGATGTGTAAATAGAGAGGAGCAGGAAATCAAGAGAAACCTAGAAAACTCAAGATTCCTCAGCACAGAATAACTTAAAGTTTAATGGATTTTTGTCTGTTGGAAGACGTTTTTAGGTCCTTACCTTACAAAGAAGGAAAAATGTATAGAAGACCACTGGCAGCATATACTTGAAGTACTAAAAGTGTTCCTTTTGCAGAATTATCCTGTAGTATTATTATCATTACATATCTGATTATTGATACATAAAGCAATTCTTTAATATTATAGATAGTTAAGTTGGAGCATTTAACAATAAACTGTTGGGTAGCTAAATTCACTGTGGTGAAAAATACTGTTCCTCTTAAATAGTGCAGAGTCAATATAAAGTTGCAGAGAATATAAATACTCTTGTAAAGTACCAGTGCCTCTCAATTGTACTTAAGTGCAGTACTTTCCACCACTCAGCACAGTTGAAACATGCTTAAAACACTTTCCAAGAAGTGGACTGAATACAGATTTTGCAGTCAGTAGCAGCAGTATTTAGTATTGTGCTTTTTCGTTGCTCCATTCGTCAGGAAGCAGCACGTCCCCTGACATGTCATTGTCCTCTCCACATCACACACTCAGGTATGTGGCTGAAGCCAGGGGAAGCAGTGTCTATGATGCACCACACCATGGCCTCTCTAATGAGGCCTGACTCTTAATGACTCACAGCCCCCAGCAGCAGACAGGGATGGCCAGCAGTGGGGCTTATCTCATTGGCACTCTGTGCTGCGTGGTTACACCTGTAACCTTTAGATCACTCCAAATTAGGTTGCTCCGGGAATCCTTCAGTAGTGATTACAAAACAGATTGAGTGGCCAGAAGAATTCTCATAAAAATTGTGTATGAGCCCTCCGCTTGAATTCAGAGGAGGAATAATAATGGCTGATTGTGCAAAGACATGTTACACACAGAAGCCCACAACTGATCATGCATTCTGTCTGTTTCTGCAGAACAAGATTGCAATACTAACTGATGTTTCCGTTGACTGGTTTCCATTATGTAGATGTAAATTAACACAAGCAAGCCAAAGCTGAGCATTGTGATAAATGAGCACATAGAGCACTAAGATGAGCTGGAGAAGCAGCTGCGATCTATACTTGGGAGGTGAGCTTCTGACTTGTGCCAGTCAGTCATGCCTGCTGAGCATCATTCATGGATGAGTCGAGGTGCTGGTCAGCCAGGGGACAGTGTGGTTAATTGCATTGCACTTTAATAAGTCACACACTGAAGACATGTGGCTTTAATCATGCAGATGTCTCTGCTGTAGGCAGTACTGGGGACATAGGTGTCTCAGGCTTATTAATGTCAATGTTTCCATCGGTCACCAATAAGTCCTTATCCTCACATATACTACAACGTCCTTACACCTTAACACTACACCCTGCCTCTTGTACTTGTGTCTCCATCAGTAGCATAAAAGATGCTGCTATTCAGCAGTTTGTCGGCAGGATCAGATACAGCAGCAATGCAATTGAGGGTTTTGTAGTCCCAGTAATCAAAGTGGTGAGGAACAGGAGAGAAATTCATTTAGGGGGAATAAGGTCTCTGGAGAACATTTTGTTGGTGTAAAGTGAACATTGTTTGATGTCAAAACAGAAATAAACTGTTTTTGTGGATGTCGGCAGATACAGGAAGAAGGCATACAGTAGAGCCCCAAATGATAAGCGTCATATTGATCCGACTTGTCTGTCCTATGCGGTGCTCTTTTTCTTCACAGTTCTTGTATGCAGAATCAACAATGAACAGAAGTTCACTTAGACCCAGTTAACCGTTATTAAAAGTATAATACATTTAGTCTTTTTGTAAACATTCAGATGTTGATATACGCTCTGAAGGACATGGCAGGGATCTCTTCAGGCATGACAAAATATCAGGGAGTTTCTTGTCCTTGACATTCACACATTCTGTTCCACTGACACATGCGGTGCTGCACTCAGCGGAGGTAGATTGTGACCAGATCTAACAGGGTAAGATTTGGTATGAAATCTCTGTGTGATAATATTGCACAATAGGGACAATCTGTAAAGAAAATATCATTTCAGATTCAAATTTACAACTGCAGTCTTTTGCATTTTGTGGCTGTTCCTGCATAAAAGTTGCCTCCTTAAGGAGTTAAATAGAAAACTGATTAGTCATCACATAGGGCTTAATTTTGGAACTTATATTACAATAATTGAGCTCAGAATGCAAAAACTAACTTTTACTATGGTTTCTGTTAAGTGTTAAGTTTGTACGGAATTTTTTTTTGTCTATTTTATCAGATCTGCTGAATTTGATCCAATGATTCAAACCTTATTGTTAATGTAGTGATAAATGTGTGCTTGTGTAGTGCATTTGTTAGCCAGCTACATGATGGCTCCTCTATAGACAGCTTAATTTAAATTCAGTTCTGATTACCAAACAGAGATCTCTAAATGATCTTATTTTTGAGTACAATAGACTTAATGAGTCTACCTAAAATAATTCTTCAGTCTTAGGTATCAGTGTCCACCCAGCTAAGGCCCCTTAGCAACCATTTATATGCAAAAGGAAATGGTTTGAATTATTTATTTAGCCAAGAACAAAACAGCCATGTTATTTTGTTGTGCTTGTGTTTACATCTTAATTCAGCAAATGAAGGGCAGAAGAATCTCAAACCTGCCCTCTGACCTCCATGAAGAATTATTAAGAGCAGTGTAATGAAAGAGATGACAAACACATCAATGTTCTGTTCATGCCTGTATTATCATTGCAATAACCCTTTTGTAGGCTTTGTTAATGAGTACAGATAACATGATCTTGTTGTATTGTGGACAAGCCACTTGTAGTGTTTGAAGTGTGAAGAGTTCATTGTATCAGGCCCTCTTGAGTTAATGTAGGCTTTTATTCCTGTGCGTAACTTTGTGTGTCTGTGGATACCAGGTAGGAGGGACAGGGAATGAAAACTGTGTGGTCGGATGTGGAGGCTGTGCAGAGTAAATTGGCCTTTCAAGAGCTGCTTTTGTGAACTATACCCCTGTTGAGATTCTTGATCCCATAAGAAATTTATGAGTTTGTGTGTGCGCATGCGTGTGAGAGCAAGCAAGGAAGCATGTGTCTTCTGTGTGTCATCATAAGCTCATTATTTTTCTTCTCTCCCACAGATCTGCGACTTGTCATCACCTCTCCCAGCGAGTGTGTGTGTCTGGGCACAGCGGCATTTCTGTCACTTTGTGCTTCCAGTGTCTCCTCAGCATCCACAAAAAAACACCCAGGGACCACAGGCTGTAAGATTAGGTGAGCTTAAGGTCACATGCCTCTGGCTTCTTGTTCTGGCTATCTTGCCCGAATTCATTCAGGATAATCCTAATTTTATTACCTCTCAGCCTCTCCCCGCAGGCGTGTTACTTAAAACTTGTGAGGTCTGACAAATGTGACATGACAAGTTATGAGGTATTCCACTTTTCCAAAGCCATTCGGAGAAATGACTGAGGGTGGTGGTCTAATCACAGGAGCAATAAAAGCTTGTCAGTCAATCAAGCAGGGTCCCTGTAGTATTTAACAGGATTGTTTCGGAGAAGGGCCTGAATATGAAAGCAGCTGTAACCCTTTAACATGTGTGTATCTTGATTAATCATCCTGTTAAGGAAATGAACATGACTTTAACCTCTGCCTGTTCAGATGAACTGCTACTTAGAGGAAGTAGAGGTCTGATTGATTTTCTTTCACATGTGAGTGAGCTACATGCGGCTATCAATGCAGAAGATTAGCTGAACATGTGAATGCCTGTGTTATTGGATACAGTCACTCAGAAATATTGAACGCATGCCTTATAACACACTGAAGCACATGCAGGGCACACACAACCTAATGTATGCATTTAAACACATGCATAGATATACTACACTTACAAAGATACAGTGTCAGCCTCCTTGTATTTATTGTCATGTGTTTGTTGATTATAATACAACAATGTGTGAGTTTTCTATTCTCAAGAAGCCATATAATGTTTGAGTTCCTAGACAGATCAGATACAGTAATGTTATGGCTAATGGGATCCAGGCATTAACCAAAAATATGAAATATGTTGCATGTCAGTCATATATGTGTCATCCATATATCCTCTTTGGTAGCGATTTGCTAGGGTAAGACCTGCACATGTGGCAAATCCATCACTGTCATGTCCTTTGATCATATGCACTCTTCCTCTGCCTATATGTCTAATGAAATAACCTGCTGGTCTAAACAAATCAGCATCTTTGTCACTGTCATGGGGAGGTTTCATCTCTGCAGCCGCTCACTGAGCAGAGCACATGTGCTTTTTGAAGGTCTTACTGAAGGAGAAAAGCATCGGAGAAAATGTTAAAGAAGAGCAGACACGTAGAACTACTCTAAAGGAATAGTTTGACATTTTGGGGAAATACACATATTTTATGTCTTGTTGAGAGTTAGATGTGTAAATCGATACCATGATTTCTTGGCCAATAAGAAGCAACAGCCCAGATACAGTTTAGCTTAGCATACAAACTGAAAACTATGACCGCTGAATTTGTGCAGTCTGTGTTTGTTCACATTGCATTGTGTCTGAACAAAGCTCACTAATTAATTATCCAACTATTTTAAATAGTTTTGCACATAACCACAACTTTCATACATGAGAGTGATGTAAATCTCTTCATCTTATTCTTGGCAAGAAAGCGAATTAGTGTATTTTCCAAAATCGCAGACTATTCTTTATAGATATATAATATAATATTAATAGGTATGTTTTCATTAATGAATTACCACCTGAAAATAACAATCGTAGTGTTTTCGTTACCTTAGAATGAGACGTTTTTTATCTACAGAGAGAGCAGGTCCTCTTCCATAGAGGCCGCCATGTTTAACCACCATGTTTCTACACTAGCCCAGGACAGACAAACCAAAGAGTCATTCATGTTTTTTGTGAGTTTCATGTGTTTCTCCCACATCAATGAAAAGATGAGGCTAGGGAGTTGTAATCTGCAACTACACTGCTAGATGCCACTAAATCCTACACACTGATCCTTTAAACAAGCACAAGTATGTGCTTTGATAATCCTATCTCAAAAACACAAGCTGATTAAATCATTGGAGATGTACCACTCAGTACAAATACATTCTTATTAGAAAGGCCAATATGAGAACTGATCCAAGTTACAGTCAGAGCACAACCATCTTTCTTCCCTGTCCTCCTCTCAGAGTGAAGAATGAGGTCATCTGTTGCCCTGCTGGCCCTGCTGCTTGTTCTGGGCTTGACCACTAGTGTATGGAGTCTGAACCCGGACGACCCCAATGTCTGCAGTCACTGGGAGAGGTGAGCATTATCCTCTTGTGTTTACCACGGTACATTGAATTTTAGATTTAAAAGAGAATCTTCTGTATTTTAACTGCACCAGCTTCCACAATTGACATTGTCGATCCTGGAACTTTTCAATGTACCTGCTGCACGCGTTCTTAACTAAAGTTCTAGATCTATTCTCAAAGTCCATACGGCAGTATCGATCTCACACAGCTCAAGTCGCCAAGCTCTGAGAGATGGGAGGAGTTGCAGCTTCAAATGAAATATGCAGGCAAATTGATCAGTGTACTCTCATCCCAATCAATCACGACAGCCATAGAGCCTGAATAATTATTAGTTGTGCTGGGCAGTGTCACTTATGAGAAATAAGCAGGAATAATTTCTTTCTTCAATGCAAAGGGGAGGAAAGAAAGCTGTGAAGATATATTGTCTGGATTATTGCCTGACCAAGGTGAGGGTACTTAGGGATCGTGGTTCCACCTTGTTGGCATCGAAATGAATTCCTTAAGTGAGCTGTGTTCATGGCTTTGAGGTCCTCCAATATCCTCTGGCTGCATATATCACTAACATGAATCTAAAAGCTGCTTTCAAGTCCTTTCTTTGCATATCAAAGTGATTGTATTACTTTCACTGGGACTGCATCCATTGACAGGACCTGTATGCTGTAATTATTTTATTCTCTTCAAACATCTTGAAGAAGCATGACAATCTATGTTCATTGCAGCGTCTTTCAATGATGGAAAAAGCATTCAGATCTTTTATTTTAGTAAAAATACCACTAAAACTAAGTAAAAATACCCCATTATAAGTACTGCACTCAAAATGTTACTTAACTAAGAAGTACAACTATTATCAACAAAATGTATTGTTGAACAGAAAAATGCCTCCTGTAACTGACTATGATTATATATTCTTAATAGAAAATTGTAATGTTAAATCTTACAAGTAACTATAGCTGTCAGATAAATGTAGTGAACAGAAAAGGGCTTCTGTGACTGACTATGATTATATATTATATTATATTATATTATATAGCAATTGGTTGTAGATGTCTGAGACCAAGCTGGCGTACTGTTAATAGTTTTCATCCAGTGGTTCCTGATTTTGTTGGGTTGGGGACATGATAAATCTCGGAGGTCTTGAGATGATTAATAGGACAGTAGAAAAGAAATAACTAAATTCTGCTAAATGCATTTGTATTTATTTGGTAACTTTTCTATAATGTTTGCTTTTTTTGTTAAATAACGTTGCTTCTTTGGGCCTAAAAAAACTAAAAACTGTTATTTAAGTGTGATTACCAGTTATTTTATAAGCTCATCATGCGTTTTTATGTAAAATCTTTTATGTGAAAACATACAAGTAACTATAGCTGTCAGATAAATGTAGTGGACTAATAATTCCCTCCGAAATATAGTGCAACTGAAGTATTTTAAATTGGAATTAGTCAAGTAAAGTAAAGTTACCTCTAAATTGTATTTAAGTATAGTACAGTTCTTCCCACCACTGGTGTCTTTACATTTCTGTCTTCTAGCTACGCTGTGACTGTCCAGGAGTCCTACGCTCACCCATTTGACCAGATCTACTACACCAGATGCACAGATATCCTCAACTGGTTTAAATGCACAAGGCACAGGTACATTCTCCTTATTTGTTTCTATATTTGTTTCATCAGGGATTCGGCCTTCACTGTCCCCCAAAAGCAGAGCCAAGTCTATGAAGGCCACAGTAAATGTCCTTGTTAATGTGGCAGATAGTGAAGTGGTCAGAGCCAGGATGCATCTGACTATAATCATCTTACAGTAAATGTTTTAATTACTCCATTAAGGTTTATAATGGGCATCCAACTAAATAAGTTCAGAGTCCCAAATACTGACTTTTATTTTAGCAGGTGTTTTATACAAACTTCCACTGGCTTTTAATTCTGTTTCCGCTTGTACTTGAAAATCATGTTACAACCTGCTTTTACCTTTTATATGTTTTCTTGCCCTTCAGAAAGGGTCACTCTTTCCATCACGTAGCTGTCTCGGTGTGTCTGTTTTTCCAGGATCAGCTATAAGACAGCTTACCGGCGGGGAGTGAGGACCATGTATAGGCGCCGCTCACAGTGTTGCCCTGGTTACTTTGAGAGCGGAGACTTGTGTGTTCGTGAGTATCCTTTATTTAACTCCTTTGTCCTCGATGATGACATTTCAGTTTATGTCTGCTAGACATTTAGAGAAAAGAAGTAAATATTAGGATTGATTGGTACTGTGGATGCCCACCCCACCTCCATCACACCCACACCAGTCTGATGCTTTCTTTTTATAATGAACACCCAATAACATGCCACCATTCATGTGAATTTACTCAGTTTAAGACGATTGAGCACGATTTAACATGGAGGCACAGTATTTTATACCGTAGACTGCTCTCTTCCAGTAAGAGTAATATAATCAAAGTTGTATAACAATGAGAAAATTTAACGAGCCAAGAGGGTCCCGGTTACAGAGTGAGTAGGTAGCACCCACCATAAAACCACACCGGAATTCAATAACCTAGAAAGAGCAGAAGCCGTTAAAGCTGGACTGTAGCAATACGCTGATAACAATCCTTCACTGTCACTTTTGTAGCTTCATTAATGGTCATTGATTTCTATTTTCACACATCAAACAGAATATTTTTGCATGTTGGCCAAATAAAGACAGAGCATATAGCTTCTGAAAGTTACGTTTTTGATATTCTCGCCTTACCTAATGTTTTATTCCCTTTAAATAAGATTAGAATCACACTTGAATATTTTCCTAGATCTTTTGCAACATGAGGGAGTTGCTGATACAGTGACTGCAGCCATGCTCTTTGACCACAGCTGAGCTTGTCCTTGTCTAGGCTCCGCTAGCCTCAGGGTAGCAGAGCACCGGGAAGCCAGCCAGCAAAGAATAAGAGCCGGTGTGAAGAGGCAGGCGCAGATTGATCAATAATGTATTCATTAACCATTTGACTGACAATGGAGCTATTTGTTCATTAACGGTGTTTTCAGGGTGTTAACTGGGTGAATCTACAAACTGCGGAGGTGCATCTCAAACGTGGCCTCTCCACTGTATGAACAATAGGTGTTGTTTTGATATTATGTTGGGCTGAGAGTGAAAGCAGCTGCCCTCCCCTTTAACCCTCTTTCAGGTGAAGAGGGGAGGCTGAGTTGATAGGGGCCGAGAGGGCAGTTTTGCTTTCTGCTGCCTTTGCAAACCGTTCCACCCCTTTTAATCCTAGCACTCTCACTACTAGGATTAAGAGATTTGTACTCCCTGAGCTGTTTTGCATGCAGTGACAAAAGGGGGCCTTATAGAGTAAATTGACCCAAAATTAACTCAAGTTGTCTATTTCGGGACACTTTGTTATACAGTTAGTTTACAGTGGATTTATCCATGAAGGCTATTTCATTAAAAGGCAGAAATGCTTCCTGAATGTTTGCCTTTTAATCTTTCCTGTGTTATTTTATTTTTTATTTTTGTCATATGGCACTACATCAACTCTTACATTAACTCCTATGAGAGACGGCTAAATGAATCTGGGGATGTGAAGACCTCGAATGAACCAAAATTATCACGCAAACACACAAAGGAGAATACTTCTGACACTGAATCAACAACATTATCTTTAAGGATGTTTTTGTTTGTTTGTTCTTTTGTTTCATCGTGTCTTTTGGAAGTGATTGTTTTCTCAAAGCTCTCCACAATAAGTTGAACTTTTATCTGTTTCTCTTTAATTAGTGCTTGAAGTTACTGACTAGAGGTCTTTATTAATTCTGTGACCTTTGATCTGTCGTCAAGTCATTACCTTAATCTGTAACTAGCCTATGTAGGGGATGTGAGGAACTCATTTCCCTCCTAATAAGCATGAGTATTACAGTTGTGCACGAGGAAGTAAGAGGAACTCGCTAATGACAACAGCTCCTAATATCTTCAGAGGCTGGCAGTCTCTGCAGGGCTATGAGTCCCTCTTTTTTGCAGAACATTTAGGCCAGATGACTCCTGCATGACTCTTGCCTGTCCAGTTGTGAAATATAATTCTAAAAATTACTTTGACGGCAGAATTAGTTGGGTCTTGATAAAGTTTCAGGCAGCAATACGCTAGCACATTTCACATTTGGGGTTTGATGATCAGTAAGATGATGAGACTTTTTTCCAGAAAGGGATTCTGTGCCTTTGATTTCATTTTGGCTTTGTTGCATTTTTTAATGCTTCAAAGACGCAGTTTTAAAATAAATCATCTCTGTGCTAGACAGAGGCATGTGGAAGAAGCTTTGGAGGGAGTTGTTTAATACGTTCTGTAGGCATATCTCTTAGATTTATCAGCTACATCACAATTTTACACATTTTTTCACTTCACTTTCACCATCAGTGTTCTATATCACAGTACTTCTACAAAAAGCATAAACAAACAGAATTGAGGTATTTTACTTGACTACAGCAAAGCTCTCAAAAAACCAGGGAGAATAACGCAGTTAAAGACTATACAGATGTATTTTATCAGACATTTTAAAAGATTGTGGTTTGACTGGGCAAGAATCTAAAATTTATTAACACTGCATGACAATCACCAATTAGCTCCATTGTTCCCTGTTCTGATAACACCTCTGCATAATGAGTTAGATTAGCCTTTTATCTAGATGAAAGACTCAATTTTCCAACAGATTCCTTAGACATGAGTTAAGCAGAGTGATTCATGAATTTCAATTAAAATGAAAGACCTACCTCCTACTTTATTATGCCAACCCTTCCGTACACCGGTTCAGATCTCAGGAGAAGGGTGCGCTTTATCCTTTCTCCCATATTCAAAACTTCATTTCCATATTTCTTTTTTTTTTCTAAGGGATGTGACACATTTGCATTTCCCTGTTCTTGCTGATCAGAATTTGCTGATTGAAAGTAAACGAAATCAACTCATCATGGTGACATTGAATTCGTCTCCTCTTCTGTTTGAATACCCTGCATACGGTGGACTCGATTGATTACATGTAGTCAATCTCACACCTTTGTTATCGTCAGCACAAATGTTGAAGCCCCTTTTTCTTTTTGCTGGCTTACTGTAATTAGACGTTTATTCTGCCAGAGTACTGATGCTCAGAAATCTGCCCTAAATTATCTTTCAATCTCTGGTTTACCATTTTTGCCTTGGGAGCATTTCTGCGATTAGCACCGGCTCGTGGGTGTTTGGGATTCACTCCTCTTTCTGCTCTCCCGCAGGCGGTGGATCCTAATCGAAGCCTGATTGAGTGATAATCTATAGTAGCACTGTTCAGGCCTGCATCCAGCTCTCTGCTGACCTCTCTGCCTGCAGGATGAGCGCCATAGTGTTGCACACAGAGCTGCAAGATCGCCCCAGGGCTTATGTTGTTTAAAAAAAAACCCACAGATGCTGTTCTCTTGCCCGTTTTTCACCTTTGATCATAAAACAAGGAAAAAAAAGCAAAAGAGACAGAACTTGGATGAAATGTTGGACGAGGTCTGATCAGTTAAGGCGTTGGTCTGTCTGTTCTGCTGTCCTTGGATTGTGTATCATCCCTCCACAGGCCGTGTTAGTGGACTGCTGATTCCCATCAGGCGGAGTTTCTCTCTCTTCGTATTGGCCTGACTGTCTCATTCCTCAGATAAGAGCCTTTCTGTCTTAACCCTGCTGGCCAGATGACCTTGGCTGCCACAGATTTATTCATGCTAAGTGCTTATTTTTGTGATACTTTTCTTTCTGGCACTGTGGCAAAAAAAAAAAACTCCATGTAAGTTGCTTTATTATCCAGCTGAACCAAACACCCAACTCTTGTGAATGTGCTCCCAGGCATACTGATGCCGACCCAATCAATTGGTTGCCGTGTTGCTCAATATGAATGATCAAGAAAACTGCACACTTAGTAAACACTGCGGTGCCTGGACCTGCTACATTAAAGCATCACTATATGACAAAGCACTGGCTGATCAAATTAGAAGGGATTTACAGCTTGTTCCTTCATGGCTCAACAGCTCATTGTGGAAAGTAAAGCTGTGTCATAAACAGGGATGTTGACCAAAGACTCAATCTCCTAAAAAATCATTTAGCCCAGTGTCAAGTAGTGGAGATGGATGTTAAATATGAGTGCCATGGCTAAGATTTAGTCCGTTGATGGTATTAGGGAGATATTGAGTGTTCAATTTTATGGGCCATTTTCTTTCAGCTGTTATCTTTGTGCTTTTCATTATGCTGTTTATTGGTGGTTTAATGATGTTTTACACTCTGCCTATGTGTGTGTGTGTTAACTCAATTATACCCTACACTGATGAGGGAATGTCTCTCTGTGTCTCAGCTCTGTGTACAGAGGAGTGTGTCCATGGTCGCTGTGTGTCTCCTGATACATGCCAGTGTGAGCCTGGATGGGGCGGACTGGACTGCTCTAGTGGTGAGTGCACTTTACTCCTAAACTTGCATTTAGTCACTTAGACCCATTTAAAGTATTCCTAAAATTACTTTTACCACCCAGTTAATCGATATGAATTTACTGTGAATCCTACAACTGTTTTGCCTCGATGTGCGTCTATCTCAAAGCTGCTCAGCTTTGTATCCTCTCTTCTTAGCAAACACAGCCAATGGAACAGGTAAGTCACAATGAATTCATTTTCATTTGCTGGAAGTGGAAGTGATTTGCTTGATGAATATAGCGGATGGATGGATGGTTGCATCCCCCCTGTGTCTACCAAGCTCTCTGTTATGGTCTTAATCATGATTAGACTGGTGCCTATGACTTGTTCAGTGGAATGATGAATCAATGCCAAGCTAAAACAAGCCATTGTGCTGGCCTTTCAGTTTACTGGGGTTTCCTCACAACTCCCGGAGCTGGACTCCAGGAGGGATGGGAGGGTGGAGTTATGCATATCCATCCTGCAATCAGCTAAATGCTGGAGAGTCACTGAGGCCAGACAGGAGCAAAGAATTTATTTACTCTTTTGTGATATTTATGTCTGCAAAGAAATGAATGTGAATGTGCATACAGGAGGCTCTTATCCCCAGATGGCAATAACCCAGGCACCATTTTCTGTATCAACATTTCTGACCCCAAATTCTTAACTTCAACTGTCTGCTCCTTGTAGCATTCAGCTGTTATTGCCTGTTGCATATTTAGGAATGAGAAATGGGAGCTAAAATCATCATCATCCGTAGTGTTATTGTATAGATCTATGAGTTTTCATTAGCAAGAGAGCCATTCCCTGATTAGCAACTGTGTGTAAATCAGCTGCTCTCACTGCAGTGCCGGCCCATTGGAGGTGGATTCATGGGCATAAATGACAAGCCTGAGCTGTTTGCCGCCGCTCACTCCTACAGTCTGGTGAGGGGTCCAACGGGGAGGATGTGAGGTGCCGGGCCCCCAGGGACTCTTGTCCCAATCTTGGTTGGTTAGGAGTGCAGTCGTGTGTGCCTTGCAGCCTGCAGGTGCTGGGCTAATCCACCTTATTAAAACAGACTTGATGATTGAGACAGAGGCATTATTCATAACTTTAGATTTCCATACCAGGCATGATTCCAGGCTTTTTCATTTACGAGCTTTCATCTGTAGAAATGAGGAATGCGTGCCAATTTTTAAATTAAATCTGCCCTCTTTTTCCTTCGTGTAAATGGTTCAGCATGTTTTTTTGTCTTTCACTGTAAATTTTACTTTCACCCAGCTCAGATAGGTGATGTGAGCTTCGGTAGTCTTGTGGAAGTCGATGCAGCCATTATATTGTGACTCACATGGGCTGAAAAGCACATATTAGCGTCTATTCAGTTCCAACACAATCAATGCCATGGTTTATTTTACCGGTATTATGTTTGAGTTGAGGTATTTGTGCTCACATAAAAGCCAATTCCCTGACACGATAGCTGGTGAGAGGGCAGAATGAGCTGGTCACATGATGAAGGATGTGTGAATGTGATATAAAGTGTGTCGCCCAGGCTTGGAGATGAAGAGCTGCCGTGGGATGCTGAGCGGCCTAAAGCTGAAGTGACAGCCTTTCAGCCAGTGATCTGGAGCTGGATCAAAGGCTTGGGCCCCGTTTCTGGAGCAGCACCCACCAGGAAGCAGTTTTGTATATGGGTCAGGTGGTGAAAATAAAGAGTTGGACCGTTTGTGGCCAGAAAAGAGAAGGCGATATGGTGGGAGAAATTCAGTAAGTTATGTTGGGAGCAGTGGTGAAGGCTGAAGAAAGATACTGCCTGTTTTTCACCTGCTGGTGTCCACCTGCTGTAGCCAGAAAACATTTCATCCTCTTTCCCTGGCCTGAGGCAGCAGTCCCACTGAGACCAGACCTGCTCTGTGATCTGGCCTGGAGTCCTGGGGTGTCTTCGTTCCATCTCAAGGGCAAACTGGTAGATGTGGACCACAGATAAATCGGAAAAAACGGGGTGTTTGCTGTTGACTGTTGTCTGCAAATGTTGTCTCGTTCTACATCCATCACATGTGGATTTGGAGCATTCTGGGTTGAGGTTGTGTTTTCCCAAAAGAGTGATGAATGATTAATTGTTGTTGTTGGTTTGTGTGATTTCTCTAATGCCTGCGTGTTGTGTTCGTGGAACGTGGTCTTGAAACATGTTTCTCTGATCAGATGTCATGAAACGAGTTTTTACTTTTTCATTTAACGAGCTATTAAAACAGTGTGGTGACATGTACCTGTTAATGTTTGTTTTTTTGTCAGTTTTTCTCTGTTGTGTTGTGTTTTCCATTGCTTGGCCTTATTCTCTTTTTATATTGAAATGTACTGTGTTCGTCTTCTTTGTGCCACAGTGTATACTTTGTTTTGTCAGTAGGGTTTCTCTCGAAAAACAACTTTGTTCTCAGTAGGATTTTCACAATGTAAATAAAAAAAAATGGAAGAAAAAATATTAGACTCAATAAAACAGGGACAGCAGCAATTTTTGCAAAGGCAATTCAAATAGATGGAGCTCTGCTTATGGGACTGAACAGTATGTCTTTAGTCATTTCAGTCTTCTGAAGTATAGTACAAGGTTTTGCCAAAGTAGTGATATTATTGGTTGTAGTTTGCAACAAATATGGTATATGTTGCTGTAAAAAGAATGGCGCAGTATGAGATGAAATGGGAAATCAAATCTTTGTAGAATATTATGAGTTTATTGAATGAAAACTGTATCAAGTTTTTTCAGAACCTTATGAGTTTCTTGGGTTTAAAAGTAGACTTTCTTTTTCTAAAGTTGCAGAGAAATGACCCTCCATCGTGGTGTACTTTTCTGCACTCATGATTTAATCTCTTTTGATGAGACTGTCACACAGGGTCACTATATGCTACAGTAATAACAGCTTTCAAATGAAGAAAATGATAAAGATAGATGTTGTATGTACAAGGTATATTTAGCTATGACTGCCATCACTTGTAAGATATTAGGTGCAATGAAGCACTGTCATTGATTTCATGTGCTCCAGTCAGATAATGATATGTTCCCAGTTCTCAGGGAAAGGAAATGTGCATAAATATGGAGCTTTTAGTGTTTCTTCTCTCTGCCTTACTGGAGTTTGCTTCCCCTTATTGTGGTGGAAATGTTCACCCTCTTGTGCAGAGATTCTAAAAATCAATGCTACCAAGATAAGTATCTAGAAAGTCCAAGGAGTAGTTTAGCTTTGTTAACCAAAAAGAATCCTTTGCGTTCTAAGAAGAAATCTATCACACTTAATAGCCAAATCTAATGTGGTTGGTCAACCGTGGTCCATGAGGTAACATATTCCTCCCTAATGTATTCAAATGGGAATGCAGCCACTGCTGCGGGTGCTTTACACATGGTTAATTGATGAATGTGGCCTATGAACACTTGGTTATGGGATATTGCACCAGACAGGGGAGCTACATGCTACTTATGTTAATTGTCAACAAAAACAGTAATATTATTCATTATTAAGGTAAATCAGTGATTGGTTTCATTAGATACTGAACTCATTGTGTCAGATTGAGAATTTGGGCTGGGTCAAGCAGACATAGCAGATATTTCCTTTATTTCCTTTATTTCATTGTGGATGATATTGCCCCAACCAGCATAGACACAAAGTGAAGGAGTAACCGGACCAAAACCGTGCAGTTAAACTTCATTTTGGCTTGAAAAACACCCTTGTGAGGACTCCCTCTGGCATGGCACCCGTCGACAGTATTTACACATTATTCTCAGAAGTGCATCTGTGCCAGATGGTTCCACTCCAATCCCACAGCAGCAGGACATTGACATGCATCGCTGTCAAAGACCAAGAGACTGTGAATTACACTGAACAGGACAGAGATGCACACACACATTTTCAGCAGCTCGACACATCGCTCCAAATGTCTCTATACTTTTCTCTCAAAGCTTCTCTCTTCATTAATCTTACAGATAGTGAATTCAATATTTGTGTGTGTGTGTGTGTGTGTGTCTCTTTTGTGTGTGTGCATTTTGAATTTCTACATCTAAAGCAACAAGTCACTTTTCTTTTAGATGATGGCCCCATATCAACAAAAAAAATTGGAAAAGTGAGATTTGATCTCCACACCACCTTTTAAAAAGGAAGTCTAAATGGATTGAATTCCTCATTATACAACCATGTAAAGAGAGACGTTTGGGAGAAGTATAAATATTCTAACTATCATTCTGAAAGGGGTTCCTTGCTGCTTGTAACAGTCGATGCCGACTGCCTCATTCATTTTGGTAGATCAAAGCGCCCAGGCAACGGTATTTCTTCAGGGGACAGGAGATGGACCGATCTATAGTGCCTTGTGGAGCATAGTTACTACTCTGTATGTGTGTGTTTGTGTGTGTATGTGTGTGAGTGTGTCCATGAAGCCCTCCTGCGTTGACAGAGCTTTGTTTTTGTATAGTACACTGGGCTCCCGGGGAGCGTTGCAGCCAGTTTATTTACTGCCAAGTATGTGACAGTGTTATTTATTTTCTCCACAGCACAGAGTTCATGCTCATTGAGATATCACCTCTTTTCTGACTCTTGTACTGATGAACTGGAGCCAGTTTTCAGTTCGATCTTAACGTAATTATCGCATGTTTATTGGTGTAGATTTCTTTGGTGTTTAGCCCAAAAGCAGCCCTGAATAAAAACAATGTAAGGAGCTGTGTTGGTGGGGATATGTTGTTTAAGGTACCAGTGACACAATGAAACGCGTTTATTATATTATTAATTTTACTCTGAGACAAGATTTTACAACAGCATAAAAACGATTAAAAATACAGCATCCACGTTACAGAGTAACCTAATTACCAGGAATATGTGCTTGCACGTATTTGATAGATTTATTGGAAGTTGAGACTGGCTGAACTTTTGCTGGACAGCAATACAACATCATCTGGCTGCAGTACTGCACTTGAATCAGGTTCAACATTTTTGCCAGACAACCCTGTGTTGTTTTGCCAGAGTCCCCTTCGTTGCAAACCCTGCTACAACCCTGGACTCATTCATACACTCATTGAAATGAATGAGGAGGCTGTGGTTTTTTCACTCAGGGTTTAAGTTCGTCTGAACACGCATGATTAAATAAAAATGGATTGCACCATAAACACTAATTATAAATATTATTTCTATCTTACACACATGTAACAGTTGGCGGCAGTAACCAGCTAAGAAACATAGCAATGTGCA